CTAGAAATTTCCTCCCTGCTTCTAACAGCACCTTCTGTAATCATTCAAAGCCTGTGTGGCTTTGGGAATAATGTGGCAGCCATGGTGGAACGCTGGTTGGCTTTGTCATGATGAAGAGTTAGTGGAGCTAACGGTAGGCCCACCTCAAGGTGATTCATCAGCAGAAGCTCTGACAGTGAGGAGCCAAGTCTGGCAGGGAAATTGACCTTGTTGTTGTTTAGTCGCTAAATCATGTCTGACCATTTGAGATCCCATGAACCTTAGCCTGACGGGGTCCTGTGTCCATGGGATTTCCCAGGGAGGAATGCTGGAGTGGGGTGCCATTTCCTTCTCCAGGGTATCTTCCTGCAGGGATTGAACCTGAGTCTCCTGCCTTGGCAGGTAGATTCTTTACCACTGAGCCACCAGGGAAGCTGACACTAAACATACTGACTATTCTGGGTAAGCTGGTTTCTGAGACGTGGGAAGTGGTTTTGAAGCATTCCTCGAACACTTGAGAACCATAACAATAATGGTGAATCCTTGGGGGAAGTCACTCTGTACAGGGAGAGAATTGGTCAAGTGCTAAACTTAGGTTAAAATCCGAGCTTCAGGGAGCCTGAAGGCTACTAAGAGATAGAAAAAGAGAAACATATCAGAAGAATCAGGAGACCAGGCTACGGAGGTGACATAAAAGGGGGCACTTCCAGGATGATGACCCATGGACTTGACATCCCAACGATGCTGAAGAGCATGAGAAATGAAGATGCAAGTGAAAATAGTCCCTGCATCCACCATGGTCTATGGGAGTGGGATCATTCATGCCATTTTCCTGAATTTGTGAAGTTGTTTTCCCTAAAACTTGTAGTGTCATTGCAAAATCATGCTCTAGGCCCCATTCCAGCTATGCACAAGCTGAGTGCTGTCAGCACTCCGAAGGTGTGTCTGTCTTTGAACCACTCCGCAGTGTTTGTTGAGCACCTCCATTTGCCTCCCTTTGGTTTCTGGTCCTGCCTTCACTCAGAGCCCAGCGGTTATCACTCTGCTTTCTTCCCAGAACTTTCGTCATCAGATTAGGTGGCCTTCCATTTTCTGAGTGTTTCTTAATCATTTCCCTCTCATTAAAACCTACCTATCCTGTGCCGTGAGGCTTTTAAACCAACATTGATTCAGCATCTGAGGCGAATGGGTTTGGAGGCAAAGGTCCAGGGTCTGTCCCGAGGGAGGGGTTTATGTGAGTGAGCTGACACAGACATGTTCACAAGTAAGTGTCACACAAAAGCAGAGTAAATGTGCCCTCAGCAGAAAAAGAGAAGAAAGGGAGTTTGATTCCAAGTGCAAACAATTTACTCTGCTAAAAGCCAGTATGTTAAATTTATTTGAGCTGATAAACTTATCTGATGGTGGAAAAGGTCGAGGTGAGAACGGCATTTACATTTAACTGGAGCCTTTTTAACTTTAATCTAAGGTACCAAGTAAACAGATAATTAGGGCATTATGCTGAGGGGAAATTTTAGTTTAGGGCAACTTGCCCCAAATTTCTTTAATCAAAGTATGTGGCCACAGAGATTTTTTTGTTTTGTTTTTTGGCTTATTTGTGAGTCCATACTACTCTTAATTTTGTCTGTCTTTTTTTTTTTTTGCCTCTGTTGCTTGTGGCTATGAGCTCAGAGTAGATGTTTAACACAAGTATGTGCTACAATCACCTGAATTTGCCAAAATTTCTTATCAGTTGTCCTTCTGATCAACTGTTACTCTGTTCTCTGCTCTTTGGTTTTTATAAGGTTCCCCTCCGCTTGACTAACCTTTAGATAGGTTTCTTTTTTCTCTAGGTCTTTGATCTCTCTTTTCTTAGAGCATTTACTTTAGAAAATTTCCTCTGTAAATTCTTTGTCCCTTGAAAGATGTGTACCTCGCAGACTTTTGCAAGTTTTGCCCAGAAATATCTTTTTCGATGGAGAAGGAAATGGCAGCCTGCTCCAATATTCTTGGCTGGAAAATTCCATGGACAGTGGGCCTTGGCAGGCTGCAATCCATGGGATCTCAGGGAGTTTGATACTACGGAGAACTGCGTGACAGGAGACAAGTAGACACACACACACACACACGCACACACAGACACAGACACAGACACACACACACACCCCTTTCTTAAGGACTGGAAGCCACACCATGGAAATGAAATCTTGAAGATCTCCTAGTCTCTGTGGGAGGGTAGACGCCTAACCTTCTCACTGTGACAAAGACCACTGTGTGTCAGTGACCACAGTGACCCTCTGATATCTTCCAGTCCGTCTGCTTTGATTCACCCCTGAGTTTAGAAACCCTCTTATCTTTGGTTCTGGTAGAGCTGAGTTCCACTTCTCTCCCCTCAGGCAAGAGTCTTAAAAAAGTCTTCCCTGCCTTCTTAACTCCTTTTTTTTACGTTTGTGACATCTGTAATTTCCAAAACCAAGAATCTCTTGGGTACTTTCCTTCCATGTCTGAAAAATCACTACTTCCTTGTATGAAAAATCACTACTTCTTCCATGTCTGAAAAATCACTGCTTCTAAGTCATGCTTAGCTGACCAGATTTAATCAGTTCCTCCATTTTTTTAAGCTCTCTGTCTAGACATCACAGATTCTGGAAGAAGTTACTTTCCAAGTTTCAATGTCAATCTTCTCTGATCATAGTTTCCTTGTCTTTCTTTGGTGTCCTGCTGATAGAGGTGGGGTAACCCATACAGTTTTCGATATTTAACACTTTCTTAATGAGGTTACCTTTTTCTTTTGTCTGACAATCTATCAAAATCAATGTCTCAAAAAAAAAATCAATGGCTCTCTTGGAAATCAGTCAATTGTTTTATCTGGCAGAATCCCACTTACTGTAGGTGTGTCCTATTTAGTGTTAACCTGAAAATGATGCTCACAACAATAATGGATTGTTCAAGTCAGATGTGTTTACCTGCTTTTGAAGAGAGGAAGAAAGGAAGAAAGATACATATCTGTGTGGCTTGCTTAACTATTTTGATCACTCATCAGGAGAACTCAAAATGATTTAATATACTGCATGACCTTCTGACACGTTTCTATGAAAGGTTAAATTACAATTTGGGAAATAAATGCGCAATTTTCCTAAGTCTCTCTTGCTTGAAAAATTTACAGCTTTTTTGTCCCTATGGATATAAAACTTATGTCAATCTTTCTTTGAGTTGGACAACTTTAATTTGAAAGGCGTCTGTGACATATGTGTCTGTCTGTACCAGGCACCACAACAGGTGCAGGAGGAGCTGGCATAATGTACTGAAATTCAGATAAATGATTTCAAAATCATGACATAAGAACACTTTCATAATTCTTACAGTCTGTTGGCTGATACAGTCTTTAATGTAACAATGATAAATTAAAAGATTTCTCCTAAGACTTTATTGCTTTTCTTTGTTAAATATTAATACTTTTTCTTTTTCTGACAAAACACTGGCCCCTGGTCTACATACATATGGCTTCCTTAGTGGCTCAGACAGTAAAGAATCTGCCTGCAATGCAGGCGAGCCGGGTTTGATCCCTGGGTTGGGAAGATCCCCTGGAGAAGGGAATGACAACCCACTCCAGTATTCTCACTTGCAGAATTCCATGGACAGAAGGAGCTTAGCGGGCTCCACCCCATGGGGTTGCAAAGAGTCAGTCATGACTGAGCAACCAACACTACTACTACTATGATCTATATGGCTCTTGCCTCTTCAGTCTAAGAAGCTATGATACAAGAAGACACCTGTACTAGTCTGGATTTTGCTTAGATGGGCAGGTAGCAACTAGGTTCCTTCCTCTGTTAGATTCATATCATCAGTGGTCACAGTTCCAGGTGACTGGTCAGGCCAGAAGTGAAGCTACACAGCCCAGGAAATTGGAAGGTCACGACTGAAACTGTCACAGGCACTTCAGACATGTTTCTAAAAGTGGAAAAAGCAAGGAGTGCGATTGAGATTCCTCACATCAATTTTAATTTTCTTTCCTCTTTGTTAGTTCATACGCTGTCTTGGGGACTCCAGATTATTGGGAAATGATAAAGAAAAATGTGAATCTTATTATCTGGGGCTTTCCTTTATCTGTCCCGACCCTCATTCTTGCCAATCAGTTCCAATCTCCAGTAGAAACCTAATTTTGTCTCTTGCCTTCTTGGAGTAAAAGGCTTACGACTCAGTTCTGCTCTTCCTCATTCCTTATGCAGAGAATGAGAGATAAAAAGGCAATAAGAGAACTATACTTTTTTTCTTTATAACATTTAATTTGAGATGTGAGTTCCTCCCTCCTCATGTCAAGTTCTCCTTCCTTATGAATAAGAAAAATGGTATAGAAGGAGATACCACCACCTAATTACTTACACAGCAATCTTGTATTTACATAAACTGACAACCTTTAATGAGTTCTCCACTGGAGTCAGTGGTTCGGTTTTCCTTGTATAGCAGGTCACCTCCAAACTCTTTTAAACTTTTGTTTTCACTTTCACTTTTAAGAAACTAGTTTGTAGGACAGCTTCTCCCCTTGGCATGAAGTTCAAATGATAGCTTTAGTTTTGTCTGGTAATCATGCCTGACTTCTCTTTCCCATATAAGCATATGATATCATTTTGCAAGTAAGTCATTCACTGATTCATTTCAATAATTTTATCTAGTGCCTGCAATGTGCCAGCCTCTGTGATAGTGTGGGGAAATGAACACAGACTTTGAAGTGTAGTTGATTGTATTAATGCCAACATTAAATAGTGTTTATTAAGTGTCTGTGTGTATATATATATTTAGGTTCACAAATCTTTTTTTTTCATATAAGATATACAGTCCTAATAACAAATTATGATGACTCATTAACTAATTTAATTCTTACCTAAGAGGAGGCAAAAAATTCCCAAACAAACATTTTCTGTAAAGAATTTAGGATTTTAAGGAAAAGTACAAATGCCATAAGGATTAAGTATTTATTTCCAGGTCTTTCCCTGAGTATTCAATAGACACCGTAGGGTGTTCCTTCAAAGTTTCATACTTACTCATCTCTGCAAAGAGCTGTCTTCTTTCTGCCATGGTATTTCCTCTTTTCCCACTATCTTCAATCATTCTATGAGACAAAATAATTACAATGTGTATTAGCCTCATGCTAATGAGGCAAGCAGCCATTTCTATATAAACACACATGCTGTAGTCATGCTACAAACATAGACACAAACTATTGAAAACTGTGCATTTAAAAAGAATAGCTTTCCTTTGACTTACTTAAATGGTTGTACATATTGTCCATATACAATGTTACAGTTGTTGGAGGAAGTATAAAATTTTAATTTTCTAACACACAAATAACTACAATAGAAGATCACCTTGCACTATAACTGAATATAACCCTCTGCCATCATTCTGTTAGATAATTCATTTCACATAGTTTCTCTATCAATTTTCAGAATGCCTGCAAAGAATCTAGAGCAGATGCTACAGATCCCATTCGAGAAAAGATGAGAGAGAGTCTCATAGACTTAGCAAAGTAAGTGGCACAGACATTTTGACTCCAAGACCAGTCTACTTTCCACTACATTCTGTTGCAACCTGACCCAGCTGTACCCAAAACCTCAATTTAGAAGCAGGTCATTTTCCAAACGTTCATTTCTAATGGAAGTGTTTGGAACCTGCAACAGTTTTTCAGTACACAATAATTTCATTGTGTACTGGTTAGGTTCACCTGTCTCTACTTAACCATACCATTATCTGTAATGGAATTATTTTAAAAATACTATGAAGAAATGTCTGTTTAGTTCTTTGGCCCATTTTTTGATTGGGTCATTTATTTTTCTGGAATTGAGCTGCAGGAGCTGCTTGTATATTTCTGAGATTAATACTTTGCCTGTTACTTCATTTGCTATTATTTTCTCTCAATCTGAAGGCTGTCTTTTCACCTAGCTTATAGTTTCCTTTGTTGTGCAAAAGCTTTTAAGTTTCATTAGGTCCCATTTGTTTATTTTTGCTTTTATTTCCAATATTCTGGGAGGTGGGTCATAGAGGATCTTGCTGTGATTTATGTCAGAGAGTGTTTTGCCTATGTTCTCCTCTAGAAGTTTTGTAGTTTCTCGTCTTACATTTAGATCTTTAATCCATTTTGAGTTTATTTTTGTGTATGGTGTTAGAAAGTGTTCTAGTTTCATTCTTTTACAAATGGTTGACCAGTTTTCCCAGCACCACGTGTTAAAGAGGTTGTCTTTTTTCCATTGTATATTCTTGCCTTCTTTGTCGAAGATAAGGTGTCCATAGGTTCGTGGATTTATCTCTGGGCTTTCTATTCTGTTCCCTAAACAGACATTTCTCCAAAGAAGACATACAGATGGCTAACAAACATATGAAAAGATGCTCAACATCACTCATTATCAGAGAAATGCAAATCAAAACCACAATGAGATACCATTACACGCCAGTCAGGATGGCTCCTATCCAAAAGTCTACAAGCAATAAATGCTGGAGAGGGTGTGGAGAAAAGGGAACCCTCTTACACTGTTGGTGGGAATGCAAACTAGTACAGCCGCTATGGAGAACAGTGTGGAGATTCCTTAAAAAACTGGAAATAGAACTGCCATATGACCCAGCAATCCCACTTCTGGGCATACACACCGAGGAAACCAGATCTGAAAGAGACACGTGCACCCCAATGTTCATCGCAGCACTATTTATAACAGCCAGGACATGGAAGCAACCTAGATGCCCATCAGCAGACGAATGGATAAGGAAGCTGTGGTACATATACACCATGGAATATTACTCAGCCATTAAAAAGAATTCATTTGAATCAGTTCTAATGAGATGGATGAAACTGGAGTCCATTATACAGAGTGACGTAAGCCAGAAAGATAAAGACCAATACAGTATACTAACGCATATATATGGAATTTAGAAAGATGGTAATGATAACCCTATATGCAAAACAGAAAAAGAGACACAGATGTACAGAACAGACTTTTGGACTCTGTGGGAGAAGGCGAGGGTGGGATGTTTAGAGAGAACAGCATTGAAACATGTATATTATCTAGGGTGAAACAGATCACCAGCCCAGGCTGGATGCATGAGACAAGTGCTCGGACTTGGTGCACTGGGAAGACCCAGAGGGATCAGGTGGAGAGGGAGGTGGGAGAGGGGATCGGGATGGGGAATACATGTAAATACATGGCTGATTCATGTCAATGTATGACAAAAACCACTACAATATTGTAAAGTAATTAGCCTCCAACTAATAAAAATAAATGGAAAAAAAAACACTATGAAAACACCAACAGTTAAAATGAAGGATGAAAACAAAAGGATTAAAAAATTAAAATTTGACTTAAGAAAAAGAAAATTATGGGAAAGTTAATGGAAATGTTGTTTAGTCCCATAGAGAGTTTTGGGCTAAATAGTAAGCATTTTATAGGCTGATAGAGTTGATTTTTTGCTATAGCTAATTAAATTTTAAAAACTAAAGTTCCCTCTCTCATACACACAAATATACATACACTGATATATGCATATATGTTTGCATTCAGACATGGTAAAAGAAGGCACAATTGATCTTTCTGCATGTCTTTCAATGGACCCTGTTCTTTCTCAAATATGAATTTTTCTCAAGCTATCAGTATTATTTCTGTCTGGACTTCCCTCACTCTATACATGGATAAGTTTCAGTCATCATACAGGTCTCAGTTTAGGTGTATTTTCCTCTGAAATTCTCCCAAACTCTCTATGATGGGCTGGGTTTAGGGCGTTTCCTCTGAGCCCGCATAGTCAGCTATGCCTCTCTCTCAACTCTGGGTATGCCACAGTGATGAGGTCACAGTTCCTACCCTCAAGGGGCTTACACTCCAGTAGGGAGATACGGAAGCATAAAAGCACAGTGAAGTAATTATAGCCATGGTAGTGGAAAAAAAAATAGTGAATGCAAGAGAGGCTGATTACCTGGGGGTTAAATTTAAGGAACTACAATCCTCCCTTGGTAGTGAAGGGGGACTGGTTCCAGCCCCTCCCCTGCTTCCCCAATACCAACATCCTCGAATGGTCAAATCCCTTACATAAAATAGTGTTGCACATTTGGCCCTCTGGATCTGCCTTTGATGGGAGTTGGCTAAATCCTCAGTGTGGAACCCACAGATATGGAGGGTCCACTGTGAATGTGGCAGATGGCTCAAAAGATGAGGGGCTGTGGACGAACTGACTCACTGGAGAGTAAAAGAACACTGGTGGTGAAACAAAATGGAATGTCAGACCAACTGGTCAAACAGCCTCTCCAGTTGCGTCTATGAGTTAAGGATTATCTGTCTATTGCCAGGGAGGAAAAGGAGTGCCTGGAATAGCCGTGGCTTACAAGGTTAAGGGAACTGTCCTGGTGGCTCAGATGGTAAAGAGTCTGCCTGCAATGGAGGAGACCTGGGTCAGGAAGATCCCCCGGAGAGGGCATGGCAACCCACTCCAGGATTCTTGTCTGGAGAATCCTATGGACAGAGGAGCCTGGTGGGCTACAGTCACGTGGTCACAAAGAGTCAGACACAACTAAGCAACTAACACTTCACTTTACAGAGTTATGAGTGCACATCTGTTCACAATAGATGATAATATAACCAAGGTCAGAATAATAATTGGAAAGGCACAGAATTATTAATGAAGTTTCTTCAACTGGGTAATGACGCAGTGGTGTTGTTAAGTTATTAAGTTGTGTCCAGCTCTTTGGTGACTCCATGGACTGTAGCCCGCCAGGCTACTCTGTCCGTGGAACTTCCCAGGCAAGAACTGGAGTGGGTTGCCATTTCTTTCTCTAGGGGATCTTCCCGGCTCAGGGATCAAACCCGTGTCTCCTGCATCGGCAGGTAGATTCTTTACCACTGAGCCACCTGGGAAATCCGACGATGCAGTGCTGAACACAGTCAAATATTTTCTTTTTTATGAGATTTTGAATGTGCAGCTACGGTTGAAATATAGAGGCCTGGAGAAAAACATGCCCTTCCTGATTCATGTAACCTACCTCCTTTTCTCCAGAGGAGGCAGGTAGATAATAATCTGACATTCACAAAATAGCCTGGGGATAGCTTTCATTTTTTATTTCAAGAGCTCAGAAGTAGAGTTGAAGCAGTAGATAGGGGATAAAACAGGATATGTTCCTGTATCTGTCTATATGTTGGATTGAGATGAAAAGAATCATTAAAAATAAATCACAAAGGATGGCAGGTTAGCAAACCCTGATTGAAAACGTCAGGGAGGTAAAGACTGGCCGGTGACTGGCAGCAATACTGCCCATACTACTCACTTGGCACTATCTGTGACATCTCTTTTTCTAGTTAACCTTTTGTGTGTCTCTGGAAGGTTTTTAGGGGCAATGACTGAAATTTTAAATTGTTCACAGTGTCCAGCCAAATCCAATCAACAAAAACTATGTCCAGTTGGTATTTATTGAACAAACGAATAAAATAGGAAAAAAAAAAGAGAAGAGAGAGAAAGGAAGAATAAGTTTTCTTTTCTCAAAATGGACTTTCAATTGTATTTTCAAAAACTGACTCATAGGAGAGTAAAATTCCAATTGCATTAGTTTCAGAGATTAATTATTTGAAAAGAGTGAATCCACTTTATATTTTAAAAATAATCTCAGACCATGCATTTAAAAAAAATTTATACTTATATATTTATTCCAGTGGGATGAAACTCCTAGATCTAGAATTACTGTTTCAAAAGGAACACACGTTTATAAAGTGGACAGGTCATGCCACATTGCCACCCCAAACCAGAGGAGACACATCAACATGGGTGATGATGACCAGCCTCCTGTTTTCCACACTGATACACGTACGGCATATTAACCAGGTAAGATTTTAATCCGCCTGAGAGTCAAGATCTGTAATAAATTTGTAATTTTCTGATCAATGGAGTTAAGAACCTAACACGCTTTCTTTATTCGAGTTCTTCGAACACAACACATCTGTTGGTATGCACCACCTATTTCCCCGACTGCTTTGCATGATAGCACTGTTCTTAAACGACGTATTTATTCATACGCATTGTTACTTTCTGCCAGTTGTCTATTACATCTTTCTGGCACCTTCTGCCATGCCCAAGTTGATCTT